GCTTCACTTTGACCTTGCCTGAGGAAGAATTCTTTCGTAGGATGCCGGCTTCTCATGAAAACAGACCTCCAGTGGGTCTTGCCACTGGTGTCCTGGGCATGCCCGGGTGTGCCGGAATCCTAGGGTGAGCATAACTTCATCAGTCAAGCTGGGACCCGCTACACTCAGTTTTGTGCAAGCAGGATTTACCTGAGCCAGGCTTTTAAATTATCATCTCTCTCTCTTTTTAAAAAAGGTGTTTTTTTTTTTTTTAAATAAGATTCATAGGTCTGGATTTTGCCTGATTTCTTTTTAAATAGGATAATTTAGTTCATTTACATGTAATCTTATAATTGTTATAATTGTGTTATTCTATATTTTTTTCTCAGTTCATAAAGTTTTCTTTTTAACTTAATGAAGGATGTCTATTGGATGCTTTTTATTTTTGGTTTGATTTCACGCATTCAAGCATGATCAAATGTAACATTTTCTGATGAACCCAATTTCCTAGGGCCAACAAAACCCAGACTGTGCTCATGTCTTTATAACTCCTCTAATTCAAATGTTTTTCTTCTTATAAAATGGATTTTTTTGGGTCATTTAATCACCTACTCCAAATCCTTTTAGTCAGATTTTGTTCGTTTTATTTTGGCATTCTGAGATTTTTCTCTCTAGTTAAATATTTGAAAATATGACCATTACATTTTATGACAACTATATTTTATAGCACTGTCTCTCAGGCTAGGGTTTGCATAGCCACGAAGAGAGACTATGTTACATAAGACTGTTATTTCTTTCTGACCATAAAACTCACTGAAATCCCCCATTCTTTAAGAAGACCCTCCCCTCCCACCCCCCCCCACTCCGCCCCACACACAGAGGGAGGTATAGACCTGTGCAGTTGTAATTCTGCTGGGTGAGCCCTGTTTCTCTGACTCAGCTGATTGGTTCTGGGGGGCCCCTGATCCCTAGGCTGGCCTGAGCTAATCGGACATTTTCTCTTTGGAATTTTAGGGTGCAGAGACCCAATCAGCACTGCACACCGAAAGGGAGAAACAGACTTTCCCTTTACCGAAACTACACACACACACCCTCACACCCCTCCAGAGCACATCCCCCCTGCACCCTTCCTCCAGTACAGGGCTCCTTGGAGGATGTGGCTATCTGAAAAAATTGGGGCTCTCTTAGGGAGAAAGAGAGTCAAAGTCAAGTTTGTTAGGCTATAATGTCAAGAACAAGGGCAAGAGTAAAAGTGACCTGTACGTCAGGACTGTCATTTCTAAGTTACTCGGTTACTTTACACTTCTATGAGTGAATACAATTTAGTATAACTTTTTATTAAATGATAATAGAAAACATGTATTTATTATGTATCAGACACTTCTGTATTACATGTTGACTCATTTAAATCTCACATCAACTTTATGAGGTGGTACTATACTCATCTCATTCTATAGTGAGGAAAATCGAGACACAGAGAGGTTGAGTAATTTGCCCAAGGTCACACAGCCAGTGCTTGGAGTTGGATTTGAACCCTGCTTCCTCCCACCCCTTTCTTAAGTTCTGTGCTACATTGCTACTGTGTCAAAGTTGCAGCATGAGAGATCCCTTTCTATTTTACTAGTTTCATAGGGAGCTGGTATCTGACAGGGGGAAAGGTACAGGAGAACAGTACAATCTTGTTCTGTTAAGATTCTTCTGCAGTGAATTCTCCAACAAAACAAGGGTATGAGCATCTGGCTTTGGTGGGTTTAATGACATTTTTTCTCTTTTAAAGGTTAATCACGTTAGATGCCATTTGCAGCTCCTGAGTTATATCTGTGATTAAAAGAGAAAGTTCAAAACCCGGAAAAATGTGCAAGATGGAAGATAAAAGAAAGACTAAAAGAGTATAAAAATTAGGACAAATGTAAAGCTAAAAATAATAAAATGTAAAACTAAGATGATATTTAGAAATAGTATTATAAATGAGGTGATTTTCTAAAATTCACCTTTGATGTAAAAAGAGAAGAAAGAGAAACAACAGGCAAGAACTAGAAAAGTAAAAATCAAACTTAAAAAATGTAAGAATAATATGTTAAAATCCCAACAAAGTAAAATTAACAGCTAACATCCTTAAAAGGAAGACGTTTTAAATAAGAACTATAAGGTAAAAGGGACAGGCCAAGATCTATGAGTCAATGAAGTGGGAATGTTCTAGAAGGATTTACATTTCAAGAGTTAAGATAAAAATAATAAAGATAGAAGAAAAAGAAAAAATATTTTAAAAAACTTTATAAAGTGAGGCAAGAACAGAAACACGATAATCAGACAAAGACTGCACATTGGAAATAGTGGTCTGGGTGGGTCTGGTCTCTAAAGTGGATGAAGCCAAGAACAACTGATATGGTAATGATGAGACATATTTTCTGCTCACCCACAGCACTCTGGGGCTGCAGCATTATCAGCCTGCACAGATGAAGGCGAGGCTCCCCATAGGGCATCCCACAGCTTAGCTGGGAGTCACATCCCTGGGCCAGGAAACACGCCTTCACTTTGGTTCTTGGAATATGCTCGACCTCAGTTTTCCTATCCAATTGTCCTTTCATTAACTTCTGCTTCCTTTCAGGTGTCAGCAGCATGTGAAAGGCCACTGAGTCATACTGCAATTGAGTGAATTATTCCATCTTCTTACTCCTGAAGTTCTTGTGCAGCTGGGTCTTTGCAGCCTGTTTTCACATACGCACATGCATCGATCGTAGCCCTTTATCATCTTGCTTCATCTTTGAGGTTGCAACACTTCTGACCCATGCCCGGCTGCTCAGTTATTTGCTCCTTTCACTTTAATTCACAGCTGTGGAACTGGGTGGGGAAAATGAGACTATCTGCAGGGTTTGTTCTCGCAGGGCTGAAAGGGTGAGGGCAAGCGGAGGAGTTGTGGATGACTTCCTGGTGTCTGGGTGTGACTCTGGCTGGGCTAATTTCAGTATAGGAGAAGATCAAGTTGGGTGCTGGTTGGGAATCGGTGTTGGGCTGGGTCTGGAAAACTCTAGGGTGACTATAGCTGTTTATGACCCCCAAGTTCTCAGGAAGGCTTGGGTTTCATAACACTGTCACCGTCCCTTCTGATGTCAAAATGGAATTCCGCTGGAGGTGGTAGATGGTTCACCTCACACCCCAAAAGGGCATGGTAACTGTTTTCTGGGCATTCCCAGAAGCATTTTGTCTCATTCCTTGCCTAGTCATCGTCCAGAGACCAAAGTCAGACAAAACACACCACCCGGAAGAAAAGAGTTCACCCACAAATCCCTGCAATTTTAAGCCCTTCATGGCAATGATAGGTTTCCAGCTCTTGAGACCCCACTGAACCTCCCAGAGCCCCAGCCAAGTTGAGCCTGATGAATCACCTTGGCCCTTGGGCAGAATACAGTTCTTCAGAATAGATGCTATAATCAAGGCTGCCCGAAGATGCAGCACAGACTTTACCTGCTGTAGCTCCTGGAGTTAGACTCCCTCTGTCTTACATGTTGACTTTGGATATTTTGGGTGTTCTTTAACTCTTCAGCCACACATTCTAACTTCTGGGTTTATTTCTGTGGGTGGTTGGTGACATCTATTGCGGAAGATTTATAGTCAGATACGATTCCTAATTCTTAGGGGGGAGTTCATTGTGATCCCTGCGGTAATGGGAATGTCCTAGAGTGAGGGACTGGAGTTATGTTTGGGGGCAAGCCTCTAACCCTCACTCGCTCTAGAGTGGGTTGTGGTTTCCCTTTGGCCCACATGTGGAAGCCCTGGGCGCCCTCCAATTAGAGGATGTGGGATCTGTCCAGCCAGCCCTGCCGCCTTTGCTCTGGCTGACGCTTCCTGCGGTGCGGCCAATCGAAGGCAACCTTCCTGTTGGATGTAGGTACAGTAATTGTTCCTCCTTCACTCTTCGCTCGTTCGAACGATTTCTGATTTAAGTGGCTTTCCTTTCCATCTCTGACTCTGAAACGGCAGACTCTGTGCTTCCCAACCTCCGTCCTTTTCTTCTTCAGGGTCTTCCCATTCCTAACCCCACTGGGCTACCTAATGGATCTCAGGGTTCCCTCCCCGCCATTGCCTCTAGTCCCTGCGCGACTTCCACCGTCTACAGTCTGAACAGACAAATTTCGTCCCGATCAGTTTTGCCGCGGGTTCTGAAGGGCTCGGTGCGAACATTTAAAACCCAGGACTCAGGGGGCCCCACGGTTCTTGGAGCAAATATCGCTTGAGGCCTGTGCGTGCGGCAGGACTGTCGACGCCAGCTTAAATCACAAGTATTTTCTACCTTCCAGGGGCTCGGTTAATGGTGGAAGAGCCCTGACATTTGCGAAAAGCGCCGGGACAGCGGCCGCTGCAGCACCGAGGCCTCCGGAGCGGCCCGCGGCCCGCGCTCCCCTCCTTCCCGGGACTCCAGCCCCGACGCCGGCCCGAATCCCCGACGCCGGGCTGCTCGGTGACCGCCGACGGGCGCTCGGCCTCCGCGCCGGCCCCGGGGGCCGCGGCCCACGGTAGTTCTCGCGCCGCCGCGTCTCCCGGGGTGCGCCGGGGACCCCCGGGGCCCCCGCCCAGCTTCCAGGCCCCCGCGCGCCGCCTCGCAGGCCAGGGGCGCCCCGCGCGCGTCTCCGCGCGGCCTGCCCGCTCCCCTGACGCCCGCCCCACCTCGGCCCGCGTAGGGCGGCGCCGGGGCGCGCTGGCCCCGGGGGCTCCCCGGTCTCCCTACTTCCCGCTCCCGGGGGTGCCGCCTGCGGGCGCCCGGCCGGCCCCGGCCCAGCCCGCCGCGGGGTCCGGGAGCCGCGCGCGGAGCGGACGAGCACGAGCGGTACCCCGAAGGGACGCGGCGGGGCGAGCGCGGGGACGCGGGGCGCCGGCGGGAGGCCGCGGGGAGCCGGGGGAGCCGGGGGGCCGAGATCCCGGGGCGGCCCCGGGAGCCGGCGGAGCCCGCGCGCGCCCCCGCCCGCCGGCTCTTGGCCCCGCGCGGCCGCCGTCCGCGGGCTCGCGCCGCGCCCTGACCCGGAAGCGCCTTCTCCTTAGCAACTGCGGGACCGCGGCGCCGCCGCCTCCGGGAGCCACGGTGAGGCCTCCCGCCCCCGCCGCGCGCCCCTCCTCACCCGGCCCGGCCCTGCCCGGCCCGGCCCGGGCCCGCCGGCTCCGCGGCGCTGCGCGGGGCGCCTGCGGCCCGGCCGGACGCCCTCCGCCCCGGGCATCGCCGGCCCTGGCGGCGCCCGGCCCAGCTCACGCCCCCGGCCCCGGCCCCGGCCCCGGCCCCGGCCGCCCGCGCCCCGCCTCGCCGCCCCGCCGGCCGCCCAGGCCGGTGCGCCCCGACCCAGCCTGCTGCCGGAGAGCGGGCGCTCCCCGAGGCTCGGGTCGCCTGTGGCCCTTCTCCACGTGCGGCCCCCGACGCAGATGCCCGCCTGCAGCGGGGGGCGTCTCTGGAGCCGGGAGCCGCTGCCACTTGACGCCGGTCCTGGGGGTCGGCGCTGCCGGGCGCCCTCCCTAGTGCCAGGCTCCTGTCCGCTGTGCCGCTCGCGCGGACACTGTCAGCGGAGCATTTCGAGCGCATCCTTCTCCGGGGAGTTTACTTGCCGGCTTTTAGTGATGGGCAGCTAGTGGTCTGGAGTTTGGGTTCTGGTCTTCCAATTTTCTGCATAAGGAACTCTCCGTGGGACTGACTGGGCTCGGGAGACATGACAAGTGAAATTGGCTACTTGGGAGAAAGTCGGGGCAGGTGTTACTGGTGTGTGTGAGAGACATTGGGAGAGACTTCGTGGCGCTGGCGTCTCCCTTAGCTGAGTTTGGAGAAGTGGCATTCAGAAACCTCTCAGACTTATTTGAACATTGTTGAATAGGACTTTAAGTTTAATCCAGCCTTGGTGGACCTAAGACTCAGTCATATGAACAGTTTCGCGAATGATATTATTTGGAAATAAAATACAGGTGTTTGTAGATCAGAATCCATTCTTCAAAACAGTAGAATGCCATTTCAGTTCAATAAATTCATTAAGCCCCCACAGTGCATCAGGCACCTGGAAGGATAGTAGTAGAAATCAAAAACCGTATACATTAACTCAGTAGGAAAATTGTCAAGTAGCATTTGTTTACGTGCCAAATCAGAGGGAGGAGTGATCAGAATGGGCCGGGAGTCCAGGAACACGTGGAGTATGTAGCTATAGTGGAGATATAGTTTGTGTTTGTACTAGCGGGGACATGGTGTTCTAAATAGTTTCTTTCCTTATGTTCTTAAAGGCTTGGGAAATACTCCCATTTGACATTTTGTAGTCTTTCATAGTTTTAAGTTCATTACTGCACTGTCTACTTACTTCTTCAACTTTTAGTTGGCATTTTTTCCTATTTGCAATCTAAAGTAATGAAGCTACTAGCAGGGAGCTTGCCACTTAGAGATTGTTTTCTTTGCTTCTGCAGTTCTAACTTTTATATCAGACACCAGAGTTTAAGTGGAATTACGACTGCCTCATACATGCTTCAGAGTCTTGTGAAACGTTGCTCTTGTTCATTTGACAGGTATTTCCAGGGGGCTTTCAATAGAATGCCCTATTTCAGGAAATACCAAAAATACAGTAGTTATTTAGCAGCCAGTAACTCTGCGTTATCTGTGTGTGTGTTTAATATCAGCCTATGGTGCTGAGCATTTCCCTAGAGACATAGGAGGCCCAGAGAAACTTCTGCAGGCATCCTGATGACTGATTTTAGAGTTGAACAGGGATTTTAGACTCACTTGCTTTGGGTATCCTCCAACGTTTCATTTGTGAAGATGCACAAGCTCTTAAGGAGACTGCTTAAGATGTTTTATGCTTTCTTCCCCAGGTTTAGTGTCCATTTAGTCACTTACTCAACAAGTGTCTGGGTGCTCACGTGGTTCTGGGCTCAGTGCCTGGTGTTGGAGGTGGGGGAGAGCGAATGCACACGTGGCCCATGTCATCACCAGGTGCTGTCGAACAATCACAGGGATGTAAAACTGCTGCTGTGACAAGTGTTTGGTTAGGGAAGTCACTGACATCAGAAGTGAGATCTGAAGGATGCACTGGCCGGGCAGGGTGTCCTGTCAGAGCAAACAGCAGGGTAAAGAGCCTAGGAGGGCAGGGTTCATGGAGAGTACTGGGGACTTAAGGTACAGTCAGTAGAAGGAGCAGGGAGGGGGTAGAAGCAGCTGCCGAGAGAGGGGGCTGGAGAGGTGGGCTAGGGGTGCTGGGTCTTGTAAGCAGGAGTGAGAAGTTTATCCTTGGAGTGAAAAGCAGCCTCTATGGTTTTATTTCAGGATTGAGGCTGGGCTGGTGGGGAGTGACACAGTTAGGTTGTGTTTGAGTAGCCTGCTTTGTGTTTCTGCCCTTCCTAATGTTTGTCTTGTCTTCTAACACACTGTGTTAGCTTCCTGTCGTCTGGGAAGCCTGTGTGTCCCACTAGCGAGGTGTGTCCTTTTTTTTCACTTGGGAGAAAAGGAATTTTAGGGACTAGAATTGGACCCTGGATGTTAGTTGATTTGAAATATTTTTGCATCAGTGTGACTGCCAGGGCACTAACTTCTGTGACCCCTTTTCATTTTATTTTTAAGTGTGATTTAAAAAAACTCACAAAATACAAACTTTACCCTCTTAGCCATTTTCGAGTGGGCAGTTCAGTGGTGCTCATTGTGTTTACGTGCTTGTGTGACGTCTCTAGGACGCCTTGCAAAACGAAAACTCTGTCCACATCAAACAACACTCATTTCCCCTGCCCCTGGCTAGCACCTTGTACCTTGTTTCCATGATTTTGGCGACTCCATATTGCCACAGTGGAGTCGCCGTACAGATATGTCCATTTTTACCTCCATTCTCCTTGCTTGGCATAGCCTCAGTCAGTCAGATCCTCCCCATTCTTGAAGATCCTGCTCTTTCCCCCATGTTTCCACTTGGGTCAGTAGGTCCAGAGTGGAAGATGCCTTAGAAATCATCCTGTCCAACCCCCTCATTCCAGGTGATGGAGTCCTACCGAAGTTGTCATGACTTGCCCAAGGACAGACACTTAGTCGGGGCAGAGCTGGGATGAGAGCTGGGCCTGGTCTTCCCGTCCCAGGCAGGGTGCCTTTTCTGCCACTGCCTGTCTGCATGTTGTCACTCAGTGCTCTATGGTTAGTCCTGAAGCACCACTGAGGCACAGAAACTGATTTCCATATCCCTATAGCGTTCTGCTGACAACTATTATTTACTTAATTGATTGTCTTCAACTTTCTTGGCCTGAAAGGTGACCCTCAATAAAATTGTGAACTTCACTAGTATCAGAACCACTCATATGAATCAGACTCGCACTGGTCCTGCAGTTGAATCACAGCTTCACTTTTGCATCAGAGTTAAGATTCTCACCTTTTCGTAATGTTCTCTTTATTGCCCATGTTTGCCCATGGCACATGCACTTGGCTCCCCCTGCAAATTGTGATGGAAATCTGATGACCGTGCCATCGGAAATGAAAAACTTAATGCATTAAACTTTTAAGATTAGCTGATTTATTTTGAGGAAACAATTTATACTTGTGAGTTTTTTGAAAGAATCATATTTGTGCTAGTTTCCTAGTGCTCTTCGCAGAATGCCCACGGACCAGTTGGTTTTGGGTATCGGACTGGACTAGATTTTGAGCTAGCTCAATATTTTAAGTGCAAAAAAAAAAAAAAAAAAAAGAGAAGTTACAAAGCATTTTTTTTTAAAAGATTTATTTATTTATGCATGCAAGAACTGGGATACAGGCCAGAGGCGTGGGGGGTGGGAGGATCTACCAGAGACAGAGTGGGGAACAGAACAGGCAGATTGACTGAAATACACTGCTGAGGGGAGCAGCGGGTGAGTCAGGAGAGGTCTGCTGCGCCATGTGGGTAGCTCCCTGGCTGGGGATCGAACTCGTGCTGCAGTGGCTGCGGATTGCCTCATAGGTTGTGGCCCAACCCCTTATGCCACCAGGGAGGCCCACAAAGCATTTTCTTGTGTGACGACCATTTGCAAACTTTTTTTAAAAAATTTTTTTAAAAAAGATTTATTTATACAAGAACTGGGGTACAGTCAGAGGCATGGGAGGGTGAGAGAATTCACCAGAGACAGAGCAGGGAACAGAACAGGCAGAAGGACAGACTGAAGACACTGCTGAGGGGAGCAGTGGGCGAGGCAGGAGAGGTCTGCCGTGCCATGTGGGTTTCTCCCTGGAACTTTTATTTGCATTTTCCCCATTTATCTCATGTTGTTTGAGCAACACCACACTGCTAAAGAAACGGGAGTCATTGAGCAGGCTACATAATGCAGGATGCTGCTGAAGAGCAAGACCCTGGCCCTTTTATTGACAATTGATATTGGTTGTAAGGGGGAGGAGCAAAAAGAGATTAAAGAGGAAGGAGATTAAAGAAAAGGGGAAGGGTGTAGAAGATTAGGGATTGTGAGTCTACCCTCCAGGCACTTCTATTTTTTTTTAATGGGACACTCACTGGCGGCCGGGGAACAAACCGTCGCTGCAGAGGCTGCAGGCAGCCTCCCAGCCCAGTGCTCAACCGCTGCACCACCAGGGGAGGCCCTCTCCAGGCACTTCTTATCTACTCGATGACACACCCTAATCCCCAGCCATGGTTCTAATCTTATCAACAAGGCATTCCACTGATCAGCTTCTGGGGTCCCTTGTCATACATGGGGCCTCCTCGGCCACCCTCCCTCCCCTGCTGTTCCCAGTCCTACCTCGTGATGTATAAGTCATATACCTCGTGATGTATAAGTCGGGAGTACGTGATGTATAAGTCGGGAGTAGGTATGTCCTCAGCCCCCTGAGCATTCTGGACATACCTCGTGATGCACATGTTATGCATCGGTCCTCAGCCCCCCGGGCATTCTGGACATAACTCATGATGCATAACCTTCCCAGCGTGATCCAGCTTTGTGCTCTTGTTTGATTTGAAGGGCTGAAGGGTTGGGCTCCTGTACCTAACTGGCCAGACCACTTTGACCTTGTTTAGGTGACAAAATGGTGGCCGAATAGGCTGCCTAGGAGTAGCAGACCCACAATCCCAGACTTTGCTGTCCTGTGATGGTATATGACCAGATGTATAGAATCCAGTTTTTTAGAATGTTCTTTTATTTTAAACTTTAAAACATTTGTTTCATCTGGAGAGTTGCTGTGGGAAATACAGGTCACTTTCAACCTGCCATTGTTGAGCACATGTGCAAATCCAGCTCTGGGCCTGGAAAGGCTCGTGAGGTCCCGCCGAGTGCCTGCCATCCGTGCTGTCAGTAGTGATGTCGGGGGAACCCCCCCACCCCCAAGTTCTTGTTGCCTCTCTTAGAGTGGTGGTGCAGGGACACAAGGTGCGCCTTTGTGTCATGGAACAGGAGATAGGGAGACCTGGCAACATGACCCTTGAGCTAGCATCCTGTTTGGAAACAGAGCAAGACTTGATGTCCCCGACTTGCAGTTTTGGGGTTAATTATGCTGTCATGTGGAGGCAAGATTGGGCCAAAGCTCAGACAACTGAAGTTCAAAACCAACTAACCAACCAACCAACCCACTCACCCTATTTTCCTCAGTATTTTTAGTTGGTGAAATACACATAAGATCATGAAACTTACCATCTTAACTATTTTTGAGTGTACACTTCAGTGGGATCAAATGCATTCATGATTGTGCAACCACCATCACTGTCCATCACCAGAAACTTTATTTCATCTTGTAAAATTGAAATTCTACACCCATTAAACAACTTCCCTCTCCCGAGTCTCTGGAGTTGCCATTCTGCTTTCTTCCTCTAGGATTTTGACTAAGTGCCTCATATAAGTGGGACCAGACACTATTTGTCCTCGTTTGACTGACTGACTCAATTTAGTATGATGTTTTGGGGTTCATCTATGTTTTGGCATATGTCAGAATCTCTTCTCTTTTTAAGGGAGTAACATTGCAGTGTGTGTATAAAGCAGTTTGCTCACCTGGTCATCCACCACAGAACACTGGGGCTGCTTCCACGCTTTTACCACTGTGAATAACGCTCCTTGATGTAGTTGTACCATCCAACTCCTTTTTATTCCTTTCTTGTATCTCAGTAGTTGCTGCCTCTGGGATACACTAATGGTAGCAACAAGAAACAGTGTTCATACTGGCAGGAGAGGACATTCATGTGGCACAAAGCACAGTAAAAATGTTTCTGGTAAAATCCCCTGGGGGATAAGGGCTATGGAGGGGGTACCTTGCCCTCAGGAAAGTAAAAAAGGAATGAATTATCATTTAATGAACCCTTCTGTGTCAAGAAACCCATATGCATTTTGTCACTTACCACCGTAGCCCAGAGAGGAAGATGAGTTGACTTTTTTGCTAATAAAAACGTAGAGACTCAGGGAGGTGTCTTGTGGCACTTTTACAAGATGAAGTCATAGGGCAGTAGTGTTAGAACCAAGGTACGGACCTACCTCTGATATTCCAAAGCCCGTGTTTCTCCCCATACACTGCGTCCTGCTGCTCCCCTCAGCAGTTCTGGCACAGCACCTGCAGGGGCTGAGAGCTCCAGCTCCATGGAGACTGTAAAGGCTAAACAGGCTGATATAGTAAGAAGTTACCGGTTCCCTGTGGCTTGAGAATTTCCTCCAAATGAAGGAAAGTGGTTCCTGAAATAGCTGATAGGCTTGAGAGTTTGAGTAACCCAAGCCAGGAGGAGGAAGGAAGTTATGGCACTAATGAGGAACTCCATCCCCTAGATTGCTCGTCTGGCTTCCTCTAATGAAGCTGAATTGTTTCTCCCACTAAGCCTTGGAGAAGAAGGGAGCTTGGTAGTGATTATCCGGGTGCTGAGGGGGGTGGAGGGGGGTTCCCCGCATTTCTATTTAGCTTGGCCTTGTTTAGAGAGCATTTCTCATGAGGGAGACAGTTGTTCCATTCTCTCTTGGCAGTGGTCAGCTTTAATCAGTCTTAAAGGACTGACTGGATAGGAAACTAGCAGCAGTTATACAGGGAGGAGACAATAACACATTGTCATTTTTGTTTATTCCTACTTAAGATCAAATCAGTGAGTTACGTGGTTTGCGAGGCTTTTTAGTTATCTGAAGTTTTTTAAATGAGAAAAAATTGGAATTGTTCAGAGCTCTCTTGCCCAAATATGACATTTGTTTTCTATGTTTCCTGAATTTTGCCGTTTCAAATCAATCTTTCTTGAAGAGTATAGGAGTGATGATTAAAATATGCATTATTAATGGGATAATTTTGGTAAATGTATTAAGGCCCGATTTGTTAGTGTGGAAGATTATTAATTGTTGTCTAAGACCATCTTTTAAAAAAAGCGACTGAGGTGTAATGGACATACTGTAAACTGCACATATTTAAAGTGTATAATTGTTAAAGTGTTATAATTTGTTAAGTTTTGACACATGTATGTACTGCTGAGACTATCATCACAGTCAAGATGGTGGATATAGCTGTCACCTCCAAAATTTTCATCCCTGGCTTCTTAAACCAAATCCCAAATAGTCACTGATTTTTCTCTCACTATACATTCGTTTTTTTTTTTATCTTCTAGGAGTTCCTAGAATTTTATATAAATGTAACCGTACACTATGTAGTTATGCTTTTTTTTCCACAATATGGTGATTTTGAGATCATTATTCAGCATATAAATAGTTGATTCCCTTTTAATGCTGAATTGTATTGCTTCCTATGAGTGTACCACAGTTTATTGATACACTTACCTATTGTTGGACACATTGGTTGTTTGGAGTTTTTATCAACAAATACGGATGCTATTAAATTTATTTTGTTATTTTTATTTATTTATTTTTTTTCATAGAAGAACTGGAGTGTAGGCCAGAGGTGCTGGGGGTGAGAGGATTCACCAGAGACAGAGTTCGGAGCAGAACAGGTGGATTTTGCTGAAATACACTGCTGAAGGGAATCAGTGGGCGAGACAGGAGAGGTCTGCTGCACCATATGTGGGTCAGCTCCCTGGCTGGGGATTGAACTCAGACTTGAGGGTAATAACACTGACACTTAACCCCTGGGCCATCAGGGAGGTTAATTTTGAAAGAAACTCAAGTTTTCCAAAGTGGCTGTAGTATTTTGCATTCCCACCAACATTTTATGAAAGGTCCAGTTTCCTTACATCCTTGTCAACACTTAGGAATTAGAAATTTAAGTCATTGATTTGATGCCCTTCCTCTTTTAAAATATAGATATTTAGTGCTATAAATGTCTTTGTAAGTCTGTGCTAGCTGTGCCCCACAAATTTTGGTGTGTTGTGTTTTCATTCATTTGAAAATTCTTTAAATTTTCCTTTTGATTTCTTTGACATGTTATTTAGAAGTATGTTTTTTAAAAGATTTATTTATTTATGCATACAAGAACTGGGGTACAGGCCAGAGGTGCGGGGGGTGAGAGAATTCACCAGAGACAGAGTGGGGAACACAACGGGCAGACCGAATTACAGCGCTGAGGGGAGCAGCGGGCGAGACAGGAGAGGTCTGCTGCGCCACGTGGGCTGCTCCCTGGCCGGCAGGGGATCAAACTTATGCTGCAAAGGCTGAGGATTGCTTCAAAGTGCTTTGCTTAATCCCTTGCACCACGAGGGAGCCCCTAGAAGTGTGTTATTTTTAAATATACAGAGATTTTCCAGTTATCTTTGTTTTACTGGTTTTAATTTAAATAGAATGTATTTAGAGAACATACTTAGTATGACTTGAAACTTTAAAAATTGAGACTTATTTTATGGCCTAGAATATTATATATCTTGATTAGTATTTTGTGTGCATTTGAAAAGAATGTTTATTATATCGTTTTGGTTGGAGTGTTTTTTTTTTTTTTAAAGATTTATTTATTGATGCATACAAGAGCTGGGGTATAGGCCAGAGATGTGGGGTGGTGGTGGTGACAGGATCCACCAGAGACAGCAGGGAACAGAACAGGCAGACTGACTGAAATACACTGCTGAGGGGAGCAGCGGGCGAGACAGGAGAGGCCTGCCTTGCCATGTGGGTTGTTCCCTGGCTGGCTGGGGATCGAACTTGTTCTGCAGAGGCTGTGGATTGCTTCATAGTGCGGTGCTTTACCCCTTGTGCCACCGGGGAGGCCCGGAGTGCTTTCCTTTTTTTAAGATTTATTTATTTATGTGTACAAAAACTGGGATAGAGGCCAGAAGTGTAGGGGGTGAGAGGATTCCCCAGAGACAGAGTGGGGAGCAGAACAGATGGATCAACTGAAATACACTGCTGAGGGGAGCAGCAGGGAGACAGGCAAGGTCTGCTGTGCCATGGGGGTCAGCTCCTTGGCCAGGGATCGATTTCTTGCTACAGTGGCTGCGGATAGCTTTGTAGTGTTGCATCTTAACCCCTTGCGCCACCAGGGAGGCCCCTGGTTGGAGTGTTTTATAAATGTCAATTAGATCTAGTTGATTAATAGTAAGTCTTATGTATCTGTATGGATTTATTTGCTTATTCTTTTAATTATTGAGAGAGGAATAGTGAAAGCTTTGTCTATAATTATGGATTTGCTGATTTATCAACAAATATTTTGCATTTTATAGTATGAAACTCTGTTACTAGGTATAAATACAGTGTTGACATTATATTTAGAAGTATTTTACTTGTTAAGTAAAAACTTTGAGTTTGACATAGATTGTCTGTTATATTTTTTAAATTGAGGTATAACTGACATATAACATTATATTTCAGGTATACAACATAATGATTCGATATTTGTATATGTTGAGAAAAGATCATACTGGTAAGTTTAGTGAGCAACTATCATTATACATGGTTATATTTCTTTTCCTATAATAACTTTTAAGATTTATTCTGCTAGCAACTTGCAGATATGCACTGCAGTGTTATTAACTGTAATCCCCATTCTGTACATTACATCCCCATGGTTTATTTATTTTATAACTGTAAGATTGTACCTTTGACACTCTTCAATTGAATTGTTATTTGCTCTTGATGAATCAATCTTTTATTGTTTTGAAATAGCCATCTTTAACTGTGGTAATAGCCTTTATTCTGAAATTTGCATTCTCTGACATTAATGTGTATAGTCATTCCAACTTTCATTAGTGTTAGCATGATACATCTTTTTTATCCATTTACTTTCAACTGATTTATTTCTTTGTATTTGGAGTGTGTTTCTGCAGGCAGTGAAGTGTATACTTGGTGTTACTTTCTAAAACTAGCCTGACAATCTTTTATTTAGTATGTTTAGACTATTTATATTTAATGTGATTATTTATATGGTTAGGTTAGAGTCTTTCATTATGCTATTTGTTTGATATGTTTCCAATTTGTTCTGTTTTCTTTTTCTTTGTTTTGACTTGTTTTGGATTAATTTTTGTGTTAATTTGTTTTTTTCTAAAATTGTTTATCTTTGTTGGCATATTAGCTGTAACTATTTAATGGTTGCTTTAGAGTTTGTAGATGTTAAACTCCTCACAGTCTTCTTTCAAGCAATGTTATACCTAACATCCTATAAAAGCCTTTCTACACTATCTTTTAATTTTTCCTCCTGGTCTTTGTGCTCTTGTGGTATTTTCTCTCTCTACATATGTTATCAATCCCAGTATACATTATAATTATTATTTATAAGTAACCAGTTATTTTTAAAGTACTTAAATGACAATAATACAATCTTTATATTTACCTACATAGTTACCTTTTCTAGGGCTCTTCATTCCTTTGTGTAGCTCCAGATTTGCATCCACTATCATTTTATCCTGGTTTAAGGACTTATTTTAATATTTCTGTAATGCAGAGTTGCTGGTGATGATTATTTCAGGTTTCACATATGTGAAAAGGTTTGTGTTTTGCCTTTGGTTTTGAAAGATATTCTTGCTGGATAAAGTATTCTAGATTAATAGTTTTTTTTTTCTTTTCTATCACTGTTTTAAGGATTTTGAGTCACTATCTTCTACCTTGCTTGTTTCTGACAAGAAATCTGCTGACATCCTAGCTTTTAATATGTATTTTTTTCTCTGGTGACACATAAGATTTTCTTTTCAAAGTAGTTTTAATGAAATTGACTATGATGTATCTTAGTATAATTTTATGTTTCTTATGATTTGTGTTATTGAACTTCTTGGGTTTGTGGTTTCATATTTTTTACAAGTTTGGAAAAATTGTCACTGTTGTTTCTTCTAATACTTTTTCCTTTTCCACCTCTCTATCCCCACCCCCTTTTGTTGATTTCAATTAGAAATACATTAGGTTACTTGAAGTTGTCCCACCGGTATTCTGTTTACTTTTTTCTTGTCTCTTTTTCTGTTGTTTATTTTGGATAGTTCCTATTTCTCTATCTTCAGGTTTATTATTACTAGTTTTCTTAAGCAATTTATAATCTGCTGTTAACCACATGCAATGTATTTTTCTATCTCAGGTATCATACTGTTTACCTTTAGAAGTGAGTTGTATCTTTTTTTATGTCTTTACAGTCTCTTAACCTGTTCTGTCTGTCCTCTGACTTTTGGAATGCAGTTTTAATACTACTTTCATATCCTTTCCTGTTATTCCCATATACGTCTACATTCTCTGCATACTTAGCTTTAAAGTCTCTGTTTATATCACGTACATTCCTATTCATCAAAGAAGCAGTGCAGTTAAGTAATAGTTGCCCTTATTTCTATATTCAGAAACAGGCTTAAGAAAGTTAGGTAGTTTAGTTTGGTCAGAGTCAGGCAGTTAATGTTCAGTTTTAAGTCTAGGGCTTTCATAACTTCTTTCCATTACTCCTGCTTCAGTAGAGGAGATAAGACAAGTATAGATCTAATAAAATAGAAAGATGAATAATGAGGGCGTGTGTAGGTTATAAAAGATAAGAGATAAGATTTTGCAGGTTATTTCATGGAGGGTGAAGCATTTGAACAGCACTGCATGAGATTGGAATAGTGGGGCTTGTATTTAACTGCACTGGTTGTGAATGTGGAAAGCATATGACTAGGGAAGTTGGAATTGTGAAGTAATTTTAATGTCTGACTTATCACAACTTTATTTATTTATTTTTAAAAAATAATAAATTTTATTTTTATATTCCCCATACAATTGCAGCCCCCCCCATTCTGACCCCAATCCCTCCCCTCCTGCCCCCGCCCCCCAAAAAGTGTCTCTGGTTCATAGTTTTTTGTTGATTTTGATTTTCACTTTCTTATAGTTATTCATTTTCCTGGTCCCTTATTTAAGTTTTCTAGATTCCTGCTATGAGTGAGACCATCTTATCACAACTTTAAATAAGTCTTGTTTCTTCGGCTGCCGCTTACTTCTGACACAGAGATATCTTTTAAATTTTCTTTTCATTATTTAGTAAAGTCTTATACATAATTAATTCATAGATTTATTGATTAATTAATAACATGAGAGCATCTTTAGTTCTACTTTATTAGTACTAGTAATTGCATTGTTTATTGTATAAGAAGTCTTAAATCCTGTGTTCATAAAATTCCTTCCAAAGAAGTCAGCATACTTTATGCTGATTCATTTATTGATTGTCTCAGCACTCGGTTTCCATACCCAGAGGTTAGCCCACTTCTTCAGGCATCCAGAATCCTGTTTCAACTTAAGGGTCATTGTGTAATCTTGTACTGCTCTAGTGAAAGGAATGCTCAGATGATATGTGGGCAGAGCCTAACCCTGCTCCTCTGGGACTGTTGCCTGTGGCTGGCGGGGAGGAGTAGTGTGACATGTCCTTGGGCTCACAAGTGTGCAAAGCCTAAGACTGCACGTGCTCCAGTCTTTGTATCTCAAAGGACTTGAGAGCTGAGGTTTCACCGAATTTTGATCAGTTAAAAAAAATAATTAATGGGAAAATATCTTACTGTTCAAGTCCCATCATTCTTTCTGGAATGCTTTCATTGTCTCACGCAAACATTTTAGCTCTCGAGTTTTCGCAAGTGCCTTTTTTGTGAGAGCTCCTGCAGCGGCTACTTGGTGGTTCTCAATGAGTTTGCCCACCGTGCATTGCCCTTGGTTGGGTCCTGTCCCTGTCCACACGAGTCTCTCCATATTAATGCAACTTTAGAAGCAAAGATGAAAATTAAGGATTTTGCTAACTCCTAACAGGCGACTGCTTAGAAGGGCATGATAGAACCAAGCAGATTTTCAGTGGCAAAGACTGAATCTGGAATTAAAAGAGTGTATATGTCTTTAACATGCATTAGGTAAGTCTTATTTGCTTGTTTTATTTATTTTTTCTTTTAAAAAAATTATTTATGCATATAAGAGCTGGGGCACAGGCCAGAGGTGTGGGCGGGTGAGAGGACTCACCAGAGACAGAGCGGGGAACAGAACAGGCAGACTGACCAAAGTATACTGCTGAGGGGAGCAGCAGGCAAGTCAGGAGAGGTCCGCTGCGCCATGTGGGTTGCTCTCTGGTGGGCGGCTGGCGGGATCTAACTCTTGCTGCGGAGGCTGTGGACTGCTTCATAGGTTGCGTCTTAACCCCTTCCACTACCAGGGAGGCCCTTATTTGCTTGTTTTAAATTGTGGTCTTTTATTAAATACTGAGAAGTTATAAAATAATGTATGCAAAATACAGATATACAGAAGAGTGGTACGGTGACTACCATTGTACCCAACCTCTAGTTTGAAGGAAAATTATTACCATGGATGGTCCCTGTGTTCCTGTTTCTAATTTCACCTCTTCCTTCCCTTTTCAGAGGTAACCTGAATTTTGTGTTTTCTTTGTACTTGAACCACAGGGTTTGTATCCTTAAGTTGCCGATTGGTGTTGCGTGTTTTTTCAATATATAATATCAGTCACATTGCAGATTATTTTTCAGTGATTTGCTTTTCCCTATAGCATTAGGTGTGTTCACTTTGGTTGTATTTTACAAATAATTAATCCTAGAATGTTTGTAATTAGGAGCATACATTTATTTCTTAATAATTTTCCTCATTAGTCTCATAACGACTATGATTCATATGTCTTTGCCTTGTAAAAATAAGCAAGATAATGCCTGCTGACTGGATAAAAATAGACCAGTCTCCTTTAAAGCTTCCTCCCTCTGTCCATCTTCACGGCTCCAGAGCGCATCACTCGGGGCCATATACCCTGGTGCGTGGGCAGGTGCCTTTGAAGAGGTGGTTTTTCCTCGTTTTTCCCTTATACTATACCTTGGGCACCCTGGGACACCCTTACTCTCTAACTAGGTGTTGCCTAGTGGTTCTTTGCCCTGCCTGCACATAGGAATTATTTAAGATAACCATAGTGGGGCCAAACATTGGTCAATGAAATTTAGATTTTCTCTTCGTGTAAAATTTAGATTTTCCTATATTTTGTCTTAAATTTTTATTGTACTTAGGTTACAGCTTTCATGTTGATTTGTCTTTACATGTTCTGTGTTAGATCCTTGCATTCATTTCACATGCTGTGAGTATTTTCTCCCGGTCTGTTTTGTCTTTATCCATGGTTTCTTTTGGCTTACAGAAGTTTCTAATTTGAAAAATTTGAGTCTCTCTCTTTATATTCTTTCCATTTCATGCCTTAACTAAGAAGACTTTACCACTAGATTTTAAGCAATTTCTTAATTGTATTTTCTTTTCATCAATTTATAATTTTACTTGCAAGATTTAGCACTGTAAGCCAACTGTAGTTTGTCTTGAGGTATATGAATAAGGATCAGGCTTCATTTTTCTTTAATCAGATAGCTAGATCTGAAATGCCCTTTTTGTAAATTCCCAAGAGTCAGTTTCCAGGCTGTTTCCTTATAATGATGTCTTTGTGTATTTCACCTAAATATCATACTC